ACACCAGCTTGAGTAATACTTTCTTCAACGCAACCCCTCTTGAGAAGCGAGCACGGAGAAAACACGGCAGCAACTGGTCCTCGAACTGCTGCCTGTGACAGCATAGACCGCGTCATCTCCTGCATGCAACCAACAGCTAAGGGGAGAGCCGGCCCTGAGCACCCGCAGCAAACTTCCAAGCCACCACGAAGCAGCTCCAGCTTTTCTACTTCATAGGGTTCGCAGGAGGGAAGGAAAAAACAGCTCTGTTTTGGTCCTCAGAAGGTTTCTTAGCTCAAAGGACTCTATCTGAAGCAAAACCTAACTCTCTTCACACTCAGGCTAGAAAAGGACAATTAATTCCAACTTTTCTTCTCCTTTATTTAAACCATGCGGTCCTTTGGCTCAAGTTCAATATGCAGAAACGCTGTGAATGTCTCTGAAAGTCTGCTCAAGTCAGCTCTAACAAAACAGCACAGGAGCGCTACATTAACCGAAATACCCACTTACAACAAAGAAAAGAATTCTTGATCCTCTGGCATTTACCTAGAAGGAGTAGTCACTCTTTATTCAAACAGAGAATTAACCTCCTACCAAAACCAAGCAGTAGCAAGTCAGCTCCTTCCTTCCCACCCACGAAATATAAAGTCGGCTGTGCTTACTCACGGGATCGGTGGCAGGACATGCGCTCTTCCCCGCCTGCCCACACCACCAACCAGAAATCCAGCCACAGTCGCTGCATCCCTGAGGGCTTACACAAAAGGGCTTATAGATGTCGTGCACGAAATAACTTGAGCGAGACGTTAGCAGGCAAGTGTCTACACCAAAAGTAAATATAACACCAGCCTGTTCCATTCTGAACGGCACAGCAGCAGTGACATAGAAGATAAATGAGCCGAAGATTAAACCTCTACCTCCCCACAAAGGTTCTCACAGATTGGGGTTTCTGTATCATTAGCTGGAAATTTGCAGCTGTAAAGCAAATCTCTTTCTAAAAGAATAAACCTGGAGGAGTACACCAGGGAAGCATCGTTGTGCACATGTCCGGTTCTTCACAAAGCACTTGCAAACAGCCAGCGCTTGTTACAGGGCACAGAGCTAAAGAAACCCTCGGTCTGATTGAATATGGTCATTCTTACGCAGAAAGAAGCAATGTTAACACTGACCTGTTTGAGCTGCTCGTCCAACCGCCAGTTCTGGCGTCCAGACGGGGAACCGGAATACGGTTGCTTAGTAGTGTCTTTACCCTGTTCTTCTTTGCCCTGCTGTCCCCGCTGGTGCCCCGAAGCTGGGAGAGGATTAGAGGTAGAGGCCACTCTTTGGTTGTGATGGGCAACTTTGGGAGCATGAAAATATTTCAGAGCAGAGCAGGTTTCTTTTCCAGTCACATCAGTGCCATCCTCAAGATCGCCACCTTCCAAACCCCCTTCTTCCTCCTCCTCCTCCTCCTCTTCTTCTTCCTCCTCTTCTTCATCCTCGTCTTCCTCTTCCGGCTCTGAATTCATGCTGCTCTGATCAAAAGCCCGCGTAGCTCCGGCTGCAGGTGGGCCTCTGGCCAAGGGACCAACAGCGGAGCCGCCCGAAGCCCTGCCAGATGTGGCAGCTGGGACAGCCTGCTGCACGGCCAGCTGCTGAGTGTAGAGCAGCTGGGCTTCCCTCATCTGCCTCTGCTGTCTCTCCCTGGAATCCATCTGCAGAGGCGTTTGCTGCTTCTGCTGCTGCTTCTGCAGCTGCTCGACCACAGCTTCCAGCTTCATCCCGCAGTTTGCATGGCTGGGAAGAGAGGGGGGCGTTTTTGACTTTATCTGGCAGGGTTCAAGCCCCGACCTTGGGAGATTGGCAGAATCTGAAAGATAGACAAATATTTGTCTGTATGAATATAAAATGCTTTCATCTTTTCCCCAGGAAGAGGATAAATAGAGTGCAAAGCCAATACTCTTTCCTGTGCAGGAGACCGTGAAACAATCAGCTTCATGTTTAACAGCCTCAGGCTCAAACTTGCATTCAATTTTCAGACTGTTTAATTGTATTTTCAAGCTGAACACATTTGCTATAACCTCAGTTTCATATACCCCAAAGACAGCATCTGAAATGCCTTTGTCCGCTGTCCCAGCAGTTCATTTTTGCTGGAATCCTTCCACACTTCCTAAAGAATTACTTTTGAAATGTTAGGTTTAACATCTAGGGTTTGGTGCTTCTGAAACCACTACCTTAAAAGGAAATAGCCAGGATGATAAGCTTGACCATATTTCTATTAGAAAACGGGCAAGAATTTATCGCACACCGGTTATCTCTCAATTCTTTTATGCTTTCATTACGTTACTAAACTCTTTACACTTTATATTCAGCCATCATTTTCCCAAAGAGAGTGAGATGCGAGTAAAGCAAAGGCCGCTGTAGCCTGAACCTGACTGCTGAGGACGGAGCCTCCACTTCCCAGAGTTGCCAGCGCACCTCAAGCTCCGGCGGCGGCCTCCCTTCGATTTTCCCAGCCGAAGGACCCGAGAGCCTTCCCAGCTCTCCATTTTGACCCGCAGCAAGCCTGTGCTGAGCCAGCACCAGCCTCCTCTTGAGCAAAGACCAACAGAACAGACCACAGTCGGAAACACAGTTCAAATCTACAGTAAACCTTAGAAAGACGACGACACCGCCTTTAATCCCCAACCATTAAAATCAGCATGTGCATTTCGGGCTGTGTGTCACAAACTGGACCTGCTGACAAAGACAGTCCTCCTCAGCTTTTTTTTTTTTTAATGTAAAAAGATGCTTAAACAGATCTCACTTGCTGCCCTTCAAGGTTCATTGATATCAAAATACAGAGAAACAAAGGAAAGGCCAACTACAAACAAGCTACAGAGTCTCCTGGCCACCTCCCACCACCCTGTTTACAACCAGCACTGAGCTATTTGAGCCACATACTTGGAAAAAAAAAAAAAGAGGCTATTCTACTCACACACATTTTCAAAACGGGCACAGTTCTGTTCTGAAGCAACAAACAACCTACCAGACACCAGTTTTAAAAGCAAAAGACAACTTCCAGGGTCCCTACTGCAATGCCGAGTCTTCCTCTAAGGTGGTCAGACCGCGTCTCTCCTACAAAGCGCGAGCTCCGATGCCCAACTTGTTTTTCTCTCTGCAAACTCTTCCCTGTGCTAAACAACAGCCCATCACCAAAATGAAAAGCCTGGCCGGGTGCGCTTGCATTTTTATCTAGCGGGCAAGTGGCATCGCTTTAGCTTGCAAATGAAACAATATAAAGTGGATTAGTGGTTTGAATGTCAGGAGCAATAATGCATTACCTGCCAGCTGAAAAGAGTCTTAGGCTCCGTTCGGGAGGCACAATACACCATCTGGCCTAGCTCCCACACACACACGCTCCTCCAGTAAAGCAACAATGAACTGGTACGGGTGTTGCAACAACAACCATAAACCAAGCTGGGTGTTAAAGAGAACCTACAGCCCACACCTTGCTGTATATTGTTGCACCTGAGGCACGGTGAGGTGTCACCTCTCCCGCCCGGGGGATATGCAGCAGGGCGTGCGGTTAATACACGCCTCGGGTACGTTAACGATAATAAATGACCCAACAGACGGGTTAAGACGCCGAGCAAACACACCTTGGGTGCAGCAACACCCAGGTATGCGGGAGCCCGTGGATTTCCCGGAGTATCGGGTACAATAGCGTGTGACAGGTTACGGCAGGATTTCCGCCTGGCTGCCGAGGGTTTTCACCGGAGCCCAGCACAAACCTCGCGAGCCTCCAAAAAAGATGGATTTTTGGATGCAGCAAACATGCCCTCGTGTTATTGCGGAGCGGCAGCCAAGTTTACAGCCAGCTTTAAGCCAACGAAGAGATGCATTGCTCACAGTGAATAAAGTCACAACATCACGACAGAGTTTGAGAGCTGCAACTAGACTCACAACATTAAACCTTTCCAGTTATTAACACCCATTTTACCCTCGGCATGGATATTTCCTTACTTTTTGTGCCTCTCCCAGCCGAGGCAGTGAATGGATTCGCTTTAACCTTCAGGTCCTCACACACCAGCCTTTTGTGCTGCTTTTAATCCCTGGGAGAGCAGTTTAATTAAAAAGCCCCTCGATTTGAATTTTTAACCAAGCTCTACGCGTGGCAGAATCGGGCCGACACCGTCTGTGGTGGAGTGGGGGATCCTCTCAGGTCTGTGGTGGAGTGGGGGATCCTCTCAGGTCTGTGGTGGAGTGGGGGATCCTCTCAGGTCTGTGGTGGAGTGGGGGATCCTCTCAGGTCTGTGGTGGAGTGGGGGATCCTCTCAGGTCTGTGGTGGAGTGGGGGATCCTCTCAGGTCTGTGGTGGAGTGGGGGATCCTCTCAGGTCTGTGGTGGAGTGGGGGATCCTCTCAGGTCTGTGGTGGAGTGGGGGATCCTCTCAGGTCTGTGGTGGAGTGGGGGATCCTCTCAGGTCTGTGGTGGAGTGGGGGATCCTCTCAGGTCTGTGGTGGAGTGGGGGATCCTCTCAGGTCTGTGGTGGAGTGGGGGATCCTCTCAGGTCTGTGGTGGAGTGGGGGATCCTCTCAGGTCTGTGGTGGAGTGGGGGATCCTCTCAGGTCTGTGGTGGAGTGGGGGATCCTCTCAGGTCTGTGGTGGAGTGGGGGATCCTCTCAGGTCTGTGGTGGAGTGGGGGATCCTCTCAGGTCTGTGGTGGAGTGGGGGATCCTCTCAGGTCTGTGGTGGAGTGGGGGATCCTCTCAGGTCTGTGGTGGAGTGGGGGATCCTCTCAGGTCTGTGGTGGAGTGGGGGATCCTCTCAGGTCTGTGGTGGAGTGGGGGATCCTCTCAGGTCTGTGGTGGAGTGGGGGATCCTCTCAGGTCTGTGGTGGAGTGGGGGATCCTCTCAGGTCTGTGGTGGAGTGGGGGATCCTCTCAGGTCTGTGGTGGAGTGGGGGATCCTCTCAGGTCTGTGGTGGAGTGGGGGATCCTCTCAGGTCTGTGGTGGAGTGGGGGATCCTCTCAGGTCTGTGGTGGAGTGGGGGATCCTCTCAGGTCTGTGGTGGAGTGGGGGATCCTCTCAGGTCTGTGGTGGAGTGGGGGATCCTCTCAGGTCTGTGCTGGAGTGGGGGATCCTCTCAGGTCTGTGGTGGAGTGGGGGATCCTCTCAGGTCTGTGGTGGAGTGGGGGATCCTCTCAGGTCTGTGGTGGAGTGGGGGATCCTCTCAGGTCTGTGGTGGAGTGGGGGATCCTCTCAGGTCTGTGGTGGAGTGGGGGATCCTCTCAGGTCTGTGGTGGAGTGGGGGATCCTCTCAGGTCGCTGGGGTTGGGAAGCATCTGTGCTTGTCTTCCCCTTGTCTACTTAAGGTCTATGTGTCTGTATATATATATAACGATAGCCTGAGAGAGCTGGGGTCGTACAGCCTGGAGAAGAGAAGGCTCTGGGAAGACCTAATAGCCTCTTCCAGTGCCTAAAGGGGCTACAGGAGAGCTGGAGAGGGGCTTCTTACAAGAGTATGTAGTGGTTGTGTTACAACCAGGAGCTGAGAGTGTAGCAGATACATAAATGTGCAACTAAACAAAAGCGCTTTTTGCAATTATGGGCAAGAACAAACAGTGCCTTAAATAATTAGAAAGAACCAGTTTACAAGCTTCCAAAATAAATGGAGGAGTTGCAAAAGTTTCTGTATTTATCTCCCCCCCAATCCACACGGAGTTCTCCTATTAACTGCTCAAACCAGCCATCATGGTCAACGAACATGATAAACAGAATGGCCTTCTCTTCTTTTAAATAACGGAATGGTGTTCTCTTTCTTCAAAGGAATGATCCTGAGTATTTGCTCTTAATGCAGTTGCAGGGAAAGGCCCACACCAAGAGCAAGGGTAAGATCTGCCTGTAAAACATGGTGAGAGACCCACAGGGTTGGGCTATAATGGTACTGAAGGGAGGGCTTTGGTCTCACCAGACAAAAGTTTGTGAGAAACCTGGGTAAAAAGTAGTGGGTTAAAGTCCCATGAAAGAATAGCAGGTTGGAAGTCCACAAATAATGGTATAAAAGGTTGGACTGCCTAATGTCTTGGTACTTAGTCTTAAGTCATTGTCTTGTGTAGTCAGTGTTAAGCTATTATTTTCCTTGTGTTTTGTGTTGATTGTTTGTACTTGTACTGTCTTATAATGGGCAATAAGCCCTTGGCAGAAGAGGGGATCTTGAAAAAGTCTCCTTTAGGTTGTGGACTGAAACACTGGAAACAAATAGGAGGGAACTCCCTCACGAGGAAACAACTGATTGAATATTGTAGTAATTGGTGGCTGTTATATACTTCAGAAGACAAAGAAAAATGACTGAGGAATGGTACTTTACAGCTTACGTTCTTTTGTAGAAGGGAAAGCAAATGGGATGAAGTACTGTATGTAGATTTGTTTTTCACTTTAAGGTACCACCAAGAGTGGCAGAAGGATTGTGGGTGGACTCCACAGGACCCTACAGTCTTGGCACTGGAAAAAGAAAGAGGGAATAAAAACCTGAGGTGTTGTTCACCATGTAGCATTGGGAAAAGATACCTCAAATGTGAGAGGGAGGAGGATGATTGAGAGTTAATGGTGGCCCCAAGACAAAAGGGAAGAGAAGGAGATTTGGGTGGGAGGATGACCATGAAGACGGGGAAGGGCAAGAAGAAGGTGAAGCCACAGCTGGGAGGGTGAAGGGCAGTTTGAGGGGGTGGAGGGATTTAACCCAATTGCAGGTAGAACCAGGGGTAGATAGGAGGGGGTTATTCAAGTGCCATCAAGACAGGGAGTTGGAAATAATGGTCTGGTAAGGGTAAAAGTACTGTTTTCAAGACCTGTGGTCTTGAAGGAAACAGCAGGAGTTTACAGGGAGGATCTGGAGAAAGTGGGTAAGGTATTTGAGACTGTTATTAGAACCGAAGACTCTGACTGGAATGATCAGCAGGTGATTTTGGGAACATTACTGGACAGTACAGAAAAGGGCATGGTATTGAATGTAGCCTGGAAACAGGTAGAGGGGGCACATGCTAATGGAGACTCGCAGGGAGCGGTAGACCAGTGTTTTCCTACTACAAACCTGGGGTGGGACCCTAATCAACTGGGACCTCAGGGGCTCTTAACCAGATACCAGAGGTACTTGCTATTTGGAATAAGACATGCTATGCCAATAGCAATTAATTGGTCAAAACTGTATGAAGTTAAACAAGAACCAAATAAATTGGTTCTGTTGGAACTGTTGCTGTTGTTGCTGTTTATGGAATGGCTAAAGAATACTGCTAGGAAATATATGAACTTGGACCCACAGCTGGAGGAGGCTGTGCAATTAGCCTCTGTTTTTATGGGACAATCTGCCCTGGGTATATGAAAGAAACTCCAAAAGTTAGAAGGAGCAGAAGGATTTGGGAAGGCTGGAGGTGGCTTGGACTGTCTATAACAACAGAGAGGGAGATCCACCAAGTCCGCAGGGAGAATCAAAGAGAGGGGAGATTAATTGCTATGTTGATGGGAGTTGCTCTGGGACAAATGGGGCCTGGGGAGGTAGAGGAGGCTACAGAGGAATTGGGAGGCAGAAGGGAACTTGTATGGCAGAAGATCGGTGTGCAATCTGGAAATGGTGAGGACGTTGGAAAAGTGAGTGTCCTAGAGCCAATAACCAAGGCTCAATCCTGCAGCTCGTCAAGGTGATGGGTTTAGAGTCCTGAGGAGGACTGGAGGACTTGGATTGGGAAAGCACTGGATGGTTCACCAGTTCCTATACATGCCTGAATGTCCAATGCCCATTATAGGGAGGGATTTGTTGAGTAAGTTGGATGCACGGATAACTTTTAAGGAAGGACAGGTCAAACCAGAATCAAAGGCTGTGGAAGCAAGAATTTTTGTTACAGAATATGCAACAAAAGGAGGAGGAAATTCTAATGGAGACGAAGGATGGAGTAATACCTCTGGTCTGGGCCAATGAAGTTCCAGGACAACCAAAACTGGCAGATCTGGTAAAGATCATTCTGAAACCAGGAGCCAGACCAGTAAGGCAAAACAATATCCTATTAAGTTGGAGGAAAGAAAAGATTTAGAAGGGTTAATTACAAAATTCTTAAATTACAGATTGCTGATAGAATGTGAGTGAGAATATAATACTCCAATTTTGCTGGTGAAAAAGCAGAACAGTACAGACTATAGGTTAGTTCAGGATTTAAGAGCTATAAATCAGATCGGCCAAGATATATGTCCACTAGAAGCCAAACCTGTATACCCTGTTAATGTCTCGAAGAGAGGAATATAAGTGGTTTACGGTTCTTGATCTTAAGGATGCTTTCTTCTGCATATTGCTAGATAAAAGCAGTGAGGAGATATTTGCTTTCAAATAGAGTTCCGCAACTGGATGCAAAATGCAACTTTAGCAGATGTGGGTAATCGGTTGGCCGATAAAGCTGCTAAGGAGGTAACAACAAACCGTCCTCGTATTCGTACTGGCCAAGCAGATAGAACTGTTAGTGTCAGAGCTTAATTATAGTAAGGCAGAAAGGCATCTAGCACTGCGTCTGAAGGCAACAAGGAATGAAAAAGGTTGTTCAATAACCCCTGATGAGCAAGTTATAGTACCTCCACAGGTAATGATCAAGATAGTAAAGGAAAAACAAAGAAACACATTGGGGAAAGTGAGACCATGATTGATAACCTCCGTGATCAGGTTATTAGTGTAAGAATGACTAAAATAATTAAATCTGTGACTGAAAGGTGTAACTTGCCAGAAGAATAACCCAGTGAACAGGAAAAGACCTCCTTCTGGAGTAATCAAATGGGGAAAAGTACCAGAGGATTACTGACAAACTGATTTTTCAGAATTACCAAGGCAAAGTGGCTACAGATACTTGTTAGCCCTGGTGGATACCTTCTCAGGATGGCCAGAAGCTTTTTGTTCTTGCACCAAGGCAGTGAGGGAAGTGATTAAGATACTATTAAAGGAAATAATTCCAAGGTTTGGGGTCCCAATAGGAATGTCATTAGATCAGGGTCCACGTTTTATAGCGGAAATAATCTGTGAGTTGAACCAGGTCCTAGGAATTCAGTGGGATCTACACACACCATGGAGACCTCAATTGAGTGGGAAGGTAGAAAGCATGAATCAAACTTTGAAATGACAAATAAGCAAGATATGCCAGGAGACTTATTTGAAATGGCCAGAGGCACTCCCATTAGCCCTTTTAAGGGTTAGGATACAACCAGGGTCTAATAATAAGATTAGCTCCTGTGAATTAGTATATGGAAGACCATATCAAATGCCACTAGTCCCAGGAGAAGACCATGTAAAAGGGGAAATGGATTTAAAATCTTACTTGGTTTCTTTAGGGAAAAACTCCTGCAGCTCTCCAAAAGCACATCATACTAGTGGAACCTCTCGTCTTAGACACTCCGGTTCACCAGCACCAGCCTGGAGACTGGGTATACGTAAAATCATGGAACTTGGAGCCTGTCCAAGAAAAATGGAAAGGACCCCACCAGGTGCTCCTCACAACATATACTGCCGTTAAAGTTGAAGGAATAGAACCCTGGATCCGCTACACTCGAGTAAAGCCAGTGTCAGCCTCGTTACGGTGGACATCCACTGCAACCGAAGACCCGTTAAAGCTGAGGTTCCAGAGAAGATGAGGACCTGGGATGTAGTTACTGCCATTGTTGTATGTGTGAATGCTACTTTGGTCTCTGCGGCCCAAAGCAAAGGAAGAGAATGGGTAATAGAAACTATGCGATTCATTGATCGGAAAAGTTCAGAAGCAATAGAATGGGAGGACCGAACAGGAGACCCTTATTACTCTCAGCTGTTAAGGTATAGAGCTTTAGGGATGCAACGCCGAAAGAGGGATTTGGAATCAGGGCAGCATTCACAAGAGTTGCCCTTATGGAACCCAGAGGCAAATCTGTGGGAAGAACTAGCTACTAAAGTAGTAAACACTTCTACCTTTTGTCTACAGTCAGGGAAATCTGTCACTGATGTGTTCACATCATGTTTAGTTGGAGTACCAACTCCGTTAGATACTCTTAGAAATTATACTTTCCAGTATAGCACTAAACTTCCAGATGGGAATACCATTAGTTGGGAAATTAGTAATGAGGCTTGTCCTCAGGAAACTGTGTTACTCCCCACTGGAGAAACTCTGTGCTGGAGCAGTCATCTTTCTACAAGCTATAGTAATATTAATTTTGAAAATTTAGGGCCGAACAGCAATCAGTTGGATAGAAAGATGATTAAAGTGAGATTTGGGAACTCTTTTCCTGCAGAAAGTTGTGTAAGATTTGTCAATTGTACCCGATCTTGTAGAAATTTATCTAAGTCTGTGCCACATTTGTCTTGTAATAGTACCTCTGACGTAAACTCTAGTTTAGTCCACACCAAATTACCTTCTGGATGGTTTTTATTGTGTGGAAGGATGGCTTATACCTACATCCCAGCAAATAGTACTGGGGGGCCTTGTTCTATTGGAAGATTAGTCCCAAATATTAATAAACCTGAGGACCAGGATAAACAGGACAAACGTGTTAAACGATCAGCCCATCAGCTGGATGAAGCTTGTGAATCTGAAGTAACACTTTTTAGTCCAGCTGAGATCTCGGCAGCGGCTTTTTTAGCCCCGGGAGTCGGAGTTGAAATGAGTTATCAGACAATGAAGAGATTAGCTTGTGCCTTAGTGAAAAATATCAATTATACTTCACGAGCGTTGTCGGTGATCGAAGAAGAATTAGGTCAGCTTAGACAGGCCACTTTGGAGAATAGGGCAGTGATTGACTATTTGTTGTTAAGATATAATCATGGATGTGAAGAATTTCAAGGAATGTGCTGTTTCAATTTAACTGATAAGTCTGAAATCGTTGAAGGGAAAATTAAACGGATACATGATCTGACCACAGGAATTAAAGGGAAGAACTTGATTGCTCCTGGTTAACCAACTGGCTTCCAAACTTTGCATGAGCTAAACAGCTGTTTGTTGCTGTTATGATAGTTTTCACAATTGTCGTGTCTTGTCTAATGATTAGTGGTAGACGTTGAATTGCCTCCTGTTGTGCTTGTTTATGCAACCCTGAAGGTCAAAAATATTATAACTATCTAATTTAGGTGAGACTCTTAAAGGATGAACTTTGGAAGTCTCAAAAGGAGTAATTGTTACAGTCAGGAGCTGAGAGTCTAGTGGATATGTAAATGTGTAACTAAAAGATTAAAAGCGCCTTTTGCAATTATGAACAAGACCAAACAGTGCCTCAAAGAACCGGAAAGAACCAGTTTATAAGCCTGCAAAATAAATGGAGGAGTTGGACAAAGCTTCTGCATTTATCTTCCCCCGATCCATATGAAGAGTTCCCCCATTATAAGCTCAAACCAGCCATAGCGGTCAAAGTGTGACAAACAGAAGGACACTCCAAGTCAAGGCCTTATGGGGAAAGAATGACCAGGACCTCACCAAGAGTTCACTCCACTCCTCTGCGACCACTGAACACTACTAGGGACCACCCAAGACCCTCTGTGAAGCCCCTAATGGACTTGATGTGCATGTGCTGGGGTGATGTAAATATTATAATGAGTTCTGGGAAATGTAATGACTACTCGTATTCCGTGTGGTTGTAAGTCTCTGTGGATCTGGCACTTGGTGGACACTTTGGGTGAAGAGATCCCCCCTGTCCCTAGTGCCGAATAAAGAAAACACCTGATTCTTAAGACTACATTGCTGTTAAGAGGTTCATTCCCGATTTTGGTGACAATAGGATGAGGCGTAATGGCTTCAAACTGCAAGAGGGTAGATTTGGGTTAAATATCGAAAAGAATTTTTTTCACTATGAGGGCGGTGAGCCCCTGGCCCAGGTTGCCCAGGGAAGCTGTAGCTGCCCCATCCCTGGAAGTGTTCAAGGCCAGGTTGGATGGGGCTTTGAGCAACCTGGTCTAGCAGAAGGTGTCCTCTGAGTGTTTCCGATGCCTTGAGGCCATCTTCCAGCCTTCCTGGGCGTGGAGTCCTGTGGCATCCATGAGACCACCTTCAACTCCATCATGAATTACGATGTGGACATCCGGAAGGACCTGTATGCCAACACCGTACTATCCGGTGGTACCACCATGTACCCTGGCATCGCTGACAGGCTGCAGAAGGAAATCGCTGCCCTGGCACCCAGCACCACGAAGGTCAAGATTATTGCCCCGCCAGAGCCTAAATACTCTGTCTGGGTCGGCAGCTCCATCCTGGCCTTGCTCTCCACCTTCCAGCAGATGTGGATCAGCAAGCAGGAGTATGATGAATCAGGCCCCTCCATTGTCCATTGCAAGTGCTTCTAGAGGAACTCCTGGCAGTCATCTAAGGAGTCAATCTCCTCTTTCTCCCATGTTGGACCCAAATCATCCGACTGTTACTTATTTCTTTTTTTTTTTTTTAACTGATGTGTTGAGGTACCAAGTAGTGGCATGTGTGTGTTGATGGCCTGTTAGGCTGTAGTTCTCCTGGGGCTGGCTAGCTGCTGCTGCTCCTCCTCTGGCCTCTCCGGAGGGTTGTCCACTTCTATGTAACACCGGTAGGATGACAGTAAAGTTAGACTTGTCACCTTTAGGTTTGTCACAACTGACTCCTTCGTAGGAAAACAGATAAACTCCTTAAGCGTAAAAACTGTAAGAGGTTATTTTGCTTTTGTTGGAGTGGGCTCTTGGTCTCCTTGCTGCAAAGAGTTAACTGTGCAATACATGGTTTTGGAGTCAAACCTGGCCTCTTTAAAACTTAGAAAACAAAAATTTGGGGTAAATGCTAAACTAAACCATGTAATGGCACTTTTTAAAGCTGCCTCGGGCTGTGCGGACCATTTCAAGAGCTGTTGGGGAGGAAAGCGTGGTTGGTATGTGGCTGGGGCAGCCTTTCTGCCCTTTCACGGTAAAGTGGCTGTATTTAGAATGCCAAAAGCCCTTCTTGTCAGGAAAAAAACCTGTGGCCTCTGCTTTTTCGGGAGCGCAGGAACCGCTTCGCGCCCGGGGCGCGCCACCCCGACTGCCGACTCTCCCCGCGCTCCCGCTTTTAAACCCCCGGCCGGTTGCCTATTGGCTGGTCCTGCTAGGGCTAGCCAATCGGCAGCCTCCTTAGTGTTACGCACCGCCTTCTCTTGGCAGACTCCGTCTCCCAGGGTGCACCGCTGCCGCCGGGCGGCACTTCCGCTTCCGGTGCGCCCCGGGGACGCGGGTGAAGCGGGGCTGCGCGACGGGAGGGGGGGCACGGGCGGCGGCTACACCCCCTCTCGGCTCCACCGTCTCTGTGCCGGGCAAACGGGGTTTCGGGGGCTGGAACCTGGCTTGGGGCACGCAAGTGCCAGGAGAACCGGGCCGGGCCTTGCTCTCGGCCTGTCTTCTCCCTCGGTTGAGTGTTGAGACCGGCAGGGGTGTTTCTGCCTTCTCTGTACCTCCGGGTGTGGCTTAGGGCTGAGGTAGGAACCTAAAAAGCGTGGCTGTGTGTCGGTCAGGCCTCCTGGGGGTTTCCTGCCAGCTACCCAGAAAAGGTTTGCTAACTAATGGTCTGGATGGGGGAGAATCTCACTTTGGTTTGTTTTCCTCCTTTTCCAGAGCTTTGTGGGTCTTAGGTTGGCTTGGCTGTGTTCAGTGAGAAGGCTGCCATGTCCCTGCCGGAGTGGCACATCGCGGTGAAGTTGGCGGATCAGCCGCTGGCTCCCAAATCCATCTTACGTTTGCCGGAGATAGAGCTGGGAGAATGCCCGCTGGGAGGGTGCAGCATCTCGTACCTCAAGCAGCTCATCACTGGCAAACTTCAGGAGTCCGTCCCAGACCCTGAGCTCATCGGTAGGTGCCCTGTGTGGATCGTTTCGAAGTCCTGCCGCTTGGGGCCACCCTTTCCTCTCTGCACGGCGGTGGGGACACAAACATCCTGCTGTTAGTGGTGCTGGGCTTTGCGGGGGAGACTTGGCACCACCAGATAGCTCGGCATGGGGGCTCAAAGCTTGCTCCAGAGACCCTGCTACGCTGCAGTAGGCTTAGTACCTTGTGATTTGGATAGTTTGTTCTGTGTTTGCTTGGGATCACAGTGCTCCTGCAGTGTCCTCATGTGAGAACTGTGAGAGAGGTCAGCCCTTCTGGTGTGCGTAAAAAAGAGTGTGGTGAGCAGGTCAGGGGACCTTATCGTCCCCCTCTATTCTGCCCTGGAGCACTGTGTCCAGTTCTGGGCTCCCCAGTTCAAGAAAGACAAGGAACTGCTGGATAGAGTCCAGCGGAGGGCTACAAAGTCGTTCAGGGGTCTGGAGCATCTCTGTTATGAGGAAATGCTGAGACCTTGATCTGTTTAGCCTGGAGAAGAGAAGACTGGGGATCTCATCAGTGTTTATCAATATCTAAAGGGCAAGAGGATGGGGCCTGACTCTGTTCATTGGCGCCCAGCAACAAGGCAAGGGGCACAAACTGGAACACAGGAAATTCCATCTCAACATGACGAGAAACTTATTTGCTTTGAGGGTGCCAGAGCACTGGAACAGGCTGCCCAGAGAGTTTATGGAGTCTCTTTCTCTGGAGATATTCCAAACCTGCCTGGACACGATCCTGTCTGACCTGCTCTAGGTGAACCTGCTTTGGCAGGGAGGTTGGACTAGGTGATCTCTGGAGGTCCCTTCCAACCCCGACCGTTCTGTGGTTCTAAAGGAGTTGGCAAAGTCTCATTCTGTGAATCTCAACTCCATGATTTCCTCCCTGAATCTCAGCTCCATGGTTTCCCTGTGTTACAGAGTCCCAGTGCTGCTGACCAGATGAAGCAGCTACACAGAGCGATAACCCCCAGGCAGTCCTCAGTTCTTAAAGACCCCAGGCCCTTTCTGAGCGTGCAGTCAATACGTATCTTTAGATGTTTGTCTCTCCTAGATCTGATCTACTGTGGCCGTAAGCTGAGGGATGACCAAACGCTGGAGTTTTATGGCATCCAGTCTGGCTCCACTGTTCATGTCCTGCGCAAGTCCTGGCCTGAGCCTGATCAGAAGCCAGGTGAGGAGGAGGCAGTGTGGGTTACCGCTTAGGTCTCCTGGGGTTGTGGTTGATGGGGGTTCCTTGTGACGGAGGAACAGCTTCTCTTGTGATTTATTTCTGGGAGTCTGATGTGGGGTTTGGAGGAGGATTTGATCGGTGTGTTTGTGTGGGAACTCTCCACCTCTAACAGCAGCAAATGGGTGTTATGTTTTCTTGCTGATGGGTGAGTTAAGGAATGAGCCATGTAATGTGGAGAGTGAATATCCCTTCCTTAATTGACTGTGGCCAATTTTCGGGTGTTGCCAGAGAATCGGGAACAAAGTGACCGATTACTCAGCTCAAGGGATGAGCAGGCTTGTGTGTATTCCTAGTCCACCTGACTGTAGAAAAAGATGGGTTAGTTCAAAGTTGTTACTTTAATACAACCCCTTTTGTATGTGTAGGAGGATATATCTGTATAATATGTATAATATACAGTTCCCTGTTACGCTGTGGTAAATGTACTGAGATATCCGCAATCATTAGTCTGTGCCCTTCCTCTCTTGGTCAGTCAAATCCAAGGGAATGAAAAAATCACCCCCGCTCTTACAGCGTGGAAGTCCAGTGGCATGTAAAATGGCTAGTAAAGCTGACAGAAGGAGAACCATATTCTGTTCTGCTATTTTTCCTCCCTCAGAGCCTGTGGATAAGGTGGCAGCAGTACGAGAGTTCCGGGTCCTTCACACTGCCCTGCACAGCAGTCCTGCCTACAGAGATGCAGTGAGTGGGGCTTCATACTTTGCTGTCTGGGTGTCTTTTGTCTGTCCCCTCTCTGTGAAGAGAGTCCTTGAGTGGTGCCTCGTTCTGCGGCGCTGCTGATCTGCTCTGATTTCTCTGGCAGGTCTTCAAAATGCTGGGGAACAAGGAGTCGCTGGATCAGATCATCGTAGCTACTCCCGGCCTCAGCAGCGACCCTGTTGCTTTGGGTGAGTCCAGATGTGATCCAGAGGATCTTAGAAAAGCCAAATAAAGATAGTCTGTGTTTAATTCCTGAAACGGGGGAGGGAGAGTTCCCCTTCTCTGGAGAAAGTGTCTTTTTTGGTTCCTTGGTGGAGCATAAGAGTAAGTGCCTGCTCAGGTGTCAGAGTTGGGAACAGAGTTCTCTGTTGGGAACGTCTGGGGATGGACGCTGGCTTTGAAAGGGTTAGGGAATGTGGAGTCCAGAGGAAAGCAGTGGGGATGGATGCTTTTTTCCTGCTGCAAAGTGTTACAAAAATGTTCAGTAAATCTAGCTTGCTTGTTCTGGCCTGGGATGTTACCAGCTCTTTTGGCACATTGCTATGAGGCAGGTGGAATATGGGATGCCGTCGCAACCTCTCGGAGCGAGCAGCCGGCTGGGTTGAGCTGGGTGCCAGATTCGATCCTGCCCTTCAGGTGGAGCTGTCTGCACTGGAGCACAACCCGTGCTGGGAAAGCCCCAGCCCTTGGGTGTGCGTGGCTGTGATCGAGAGTCTCTCCAGGAAGACATAAAAGGCTTCAGAGAGAACAATAATAGAGTATTTATGTTGTTTGCTAGTGACTCAGTTCCTGAAAAACAATTAATTCTTTTGGTTTTTCTCATGACTCTTGTTTGACTGGCTCCTGTTTCTGGTATCCTGTCTTTTACTCGTCATGTTTCCTGGTCCCTCCCAGGAGTCCTGCAGGACAAGGATCTCTTTTCAGTGTTTGCAGACCCCAACATGCTGGACACGTAAGTTCACAGAAGCCGGTGCAGTGACTAAGCAATGCCTTTGTTGTGCTGTTGTGTGAAACTATTTCTCTCTAGGTGGGAGACGGAGTTCTGCTCCTACCTGCCAGTACAGAAATGCAGGATGGGACTGTTCTTCCTTGGCAGCAGGAAAGAGGGAACCGATACTTTGATACACGTCTACCTCCACTGTTGGATTAGACCAGGGGATATTTAGTGGGAGACAGGGCCATAATCGCATCCAGATGGTGGGTTCAAGTCCCAGTCTGGTTGCTCACAGCGGAGGGTTGCTCCCATGAGAGCATATGGCAAATGTATGCAACGGGAGGGTCAACATGGGATTGTGAAGGAGCCTCAATTTCTCTCCCTGTGGGGAGGTGTTTGTTGCTGGACAGCCAAAGGCAATATCTGAGGTGCTGCTGGCGCAGCCA